TCAAATGCTCCTGAAAAGTCAAGGATTGCGGCGTGAATTGTTTTGTTAGACTGATTAGCACTTGCTATGTCGTGAATTGTATATACGTGCTGTGTTTCCGTTGATCGTTTCGGCCTAAATCCAGGTTGGTAATCAGTGAGCACTCCATTGAGACAGGTTTTTCATAACATGGCTGTGCACAATATGCTCAAGTGATTTTGAAGCAATACATGTAAGTGATAAGGGCCTATGGTTTGATGGAGCCGATTTGTTTCCTTTCTTGTTAATGGTACATACGTACGTTGGCATGTTTCCATTGGCTGGGCACAGTTCCGGTATTGATAGAGTCTAGATAGATATCAGTAAGAACCTTTGATATTTCCTGGGCATTCTCCTTTAAAAACAAGTGGATGGGGGAATTTCCATCTGGGTCATTAGCTTTGTCTGCCTTCAACCCACTAAGTTGCTTTTCGATTGCCGCAAGTTGTGGTAGTTATTGTTCCAATAGTCGGAATAGGATTTTCCCCAGGGTCTACTACTGGGATATTCTCTGTTTCTTCGTTGTTCAAAACACTGGAGAACTGACTGTTTAGCACTTCAGCCTTAGTTCTCGGCTCAGGAAACACTTCATTTCTGACTTTAAGGATGCAAAGGCGAAATTTCTGAAACATTGATCATGACAACTAAGAACTGCCTCTAACTTGTGAAAGAGGAGGAAAATTTCGTCTTCGCTTGTTTACCTTCTCCATAGAACGTGAAATAACAGAGGGCATTTTCACTTCGTAGGTCGTGCAGTGTGCAGTAAAGCTAATTAGGCTACGTTCACACGGCACCAGGACAAATTTTCGACTGGCTGGAAAATCCGTTCACACGGAAACTTTCAATAATTTGGCTTTGCTCACACGAACTATGAACGGCTAGGCGCCTAAATTCTCGTACGGTTAAGGTGCGTATGTGTGAATGTTGCAGTTAATTTTCAGTTATCTCAGGTAATTTTTATTTTTCCTTTGTTTCAACTTCATTAGCATACATTACCAAACCCAAAAACAAAAGAAAAACAACAATTACCTGAAAAAAAAAAAATTAACTAAAACTTGAACACGGAACACCTGAAGGCACGAATTTTCAATCGGTCGAAAATTCCTGTCCGGTGTCATGTGAACTTACGTATCCTTAATCTATTGCTTTTTTGTCGTTGGTTCTCGTTGCCGTCGCCGTCAATAGAGAGCTTTAGCAACGACGACGGCAACGGAAACGAGAACTTCAAAAAAGCAGTAGGTTTGATTAGCAGAACAACAACTTTGCACGTATAGCACACTTTTTTTGTACATCTCTCTGCCGTCACTGCACGACTACGGCGTGAAAATCCCTAATTCAACTTTTATGGAGGACGTAATAAACAAGCAACAACGAATTTTTCTTTCCCTTTCAAAACTTGAGTGTGGTCCCCAAGAAATCAACTCCAGGGAAATTTGACATTTTCAGCAATTTGGAATAAGCGCGACAAAGTTTAAAAAAACGCGACTGATTCATTTTAAAAGTGACGTTTTCGCTGCCTTCGCCGTCGTCGATGCTAAAACTCCCAATTATCACTGCTATAATACTTGCCTCTAAAATATTTTTCTTAGGTGAACACAAATGGAGTCATTTCATTCTCAGTGCTAGTGAGTCAATTCACCCCAGATCGTTTCTCCCTTAGAGATAAGCGGGGCCGTATTGCCCCCTTTTGGGGCGATGTGGACACCAGAAATGGAGGAGTTGTGTTTTACAGAGAAAGTACAGATACGGCCTTGTTACAGAGAGCGACTCGAGACATTCGCCGGGCGTTTAGGGCAACTTGGATTTTTATAGCCGCCTGGGACAGTGTCGCATTTTATGGATCTAGAGGGGACATGCGAAATAAGGTAACAATAGATAACAATAGATGGACGCTAATTCATAATAGTATATATTAAAACAGTGGAAAGTGTTTTTTGCGTGCTCTGATTGGTTACTCAAACTCGGGACATCCAGTGCTATTTACTGATTCACCTCCAGCTCCTCCGAGCGAGCGACGCAACACGAGACGAGCAAAATGGCTTCCCGGTTTGCTGCTGTAAGAAACAAAGAAATTTCGCAAATAATTAAACAAGGTGTTCCCGAAATACACTAACCCGCCACCCCCCCATAGTTTTCTAATGGTCCGTCCCTAAGAAGGTGACGAAATTCGATTTGGATGTTTTAACAGGCAAAGCGTTGTCTGTTTGAATTGAATTTATAGATGAAACCGGTGAAATGTTTCTTGTTCACAAATGCAAGTTAAAATCTTAGCTTAACATAAATGCAGATATTACTTTTTCGCCACGGGCAGATAGACGTTAGGTGGCTCAGTTATCATTCGCGTAAATTCGCTACTTGCCCAGCGGCCAAAAGTCATTTTCAATTTAAACGGAAGGCTTTTTTGGTGCATCCCCTATGAGCAGCTAGTTCTCTGTCTGCTATGTTTTAAATAGTACAGCGAAAAATGAAAATCATTTTTATTATATTATTATGCTTTAGGTGCACACCTTTCAAGCGATATTGGTCTCAGGTCGATTGCAAACCTTTGTTATATTTAATTACAATCAGATTATGTGGACAACGGGGACATCCAGCGGAGGAAGTAGCAAAGGTTTAGGTGGCACGCCTGCTCAGGTGAGAGACCAGCCTGTGGGATGGATCGCGCACGAAAGCCTCATTCCACGGGTGCTGTTTTGTTGTCATTGTGTTGATTCAATAAGCCGTGAAAAGAGTACACATAGGCTAGTTAACAATGTAATTTGTACAATTTCCTCGAAATGGTTATTCCTTGCGAGGCCCAGGTTTATAAATTTGTGGAGCGTGGATCGTAGTAGCCGCGCCAGCAAACTCGAGTGGCCCATATTTTTTATGTATATATCTCTTGGTGTCTGCACGACGTCATCTAGCCACAAACTTTGTCCGTTATTTTGACTGCTTTTGCGGTCGTTTTGGCGATAAATTTCGACGTCAAAAGTATTTGAAAGAGAACATTAAGCACTTGGACCAACCGTTTCAAAATAAGATCGAAAATCGAGGTAAAAGAACATTTGCCCGGTGCGACTCACTGACGAGCTAACCTAGTTCAGGCATGTTTGTCGGAAGGCAGCGCTTCAGCTTGGCTTTTTACCTGCAAACTTTACTTTTTAACGGGAATCTACTTTTAAATTCATGTTACTCTGAGACAAATCCACAATTACTTTGCGCTTTTAATGCTGATGGATCAAAAACTGGCTTCAGCTCTGTACATCGATCGGCCGTTGAACCCGAGTTGATTTTCGTTTTTCGTTTTTCTTCTTTTTCTTTCCTTTTCATTTTTTTTTTCTATCCGGCGACCGAAAAATTGCCAAATGTGCTTTGCAATACACATTTAGTAATGCAAGTTGGAAAATGAAGCATGCAAAAAAAAAAAGAAGAAGAAAACAAGAAATTAAGAAGTAGGAGTCCTCGCGACGTCGACGCCAAACCGTCCGGCAGGGAGTAACTGAACCTCGTGAGGGTTTGCGAGACACATATTAAGTGTGTTTCAGTACAGCCTTTAGTCGCGAAAACCTTGATTTTCACTAAAATCTACCGTTAAACTGAGGAAAACCCACATGAATTATTTCTTCCTCGCCAATGGATCAAAGAGTGGTTTATCATATCATCCGTTTTGGGGGTGGGGAGAGGGGACGAATGACATTGCAGATGAAGAATGGTTTCAGCTCGGTATCGATCGGTTCTTAAATTCGAGGGGAATTTGTAATAGAACTTGCCTTTTTTTTTCCATTCGGCCAGCTGAATGTTAGATATGCCTAGCAATAGGCATATAAGAATCAAATATAAGAAAAGAAGAAGCATAGAGTAAAATGGAGGAATTCTCAAGACAGGACAATCGCGGCTAGTCACCAGTTTCTAACTGCGACCGGCACCGGTCTCGACTTGAACACTGAGTTTTGCGAGGGTGTATGCGATATACTTATGTAGAAGTAGAATGCAATTGTCGAACCCACTAAACCTCGATTTGACGATACAAGCTCTAGTGGAACCCACTCCTGTTTGTTAAGGCTTAGCGTAACAACTACTTTAGTTAATGTATTTTTCCTTCAAATAAGGACATTTCACGAGACCTTGCGGAAATTTCCCGATTCTTGAATTCATTTCATCAGTCCGGGCCACAACCAGATCTGGATATATGATGACATCACCCACATTTGCAAAATGGCGCTCACGCCGAGAAACACGAGGGAAGGTCACTTCCAGGCTCTATTCTGCGCCTAGAAGTGTCTTTTCCCCATACTACTTTGAGAACTGTGACTTAAGACTTTGAGAAATCAGGGGTGTCGAGAAAAAATGCCGTCCGATCAACGTTTGTACGTTCTTGGGAGGTAAAACGACCGAGCATGAGAGAGTTTGTCAGCTCAAAGAAATGCTGGACAAGGCGCAAAACATCTTAAAAAAATAAGGTGAGTTTCATTTTTCTGATCCTCGAAAAAAATTTTCTTGAAATCTGCATAAAATTTGCTTGTTGCTGGGGGTCTTTTTGGTTTAGTGCATAGCGAGTTCAAATAGTGCTGTGCTTTGGAAGATGCAACGGTCAGTTGCGCCGTTCACGTGCTGGTTTTCATTGTAACGCCATGTTTATTTTATGTTTTCTTGCAGTCGGATGGAAAAGTAAAAGCACCTTGTTTTTGTGGCAAAAAGATGCTGCCAGTTTGTTCGTGGAGAACCGTAACCATGGTCTTGCCTGATCACAAAGTGGCAATAACAAAACAGTTCAAACACTGTTAAGCTTATTCAAAAGCCAGAAGACTCGCATTTATAGAAAAACACCAAGCTGGAGTCTACTGAGTCACAATGCATTTCTCCCAGCCTAGTCCCTAGGCGTTCTTTCTTGCCCCGTTGTCCGCGCGAAGTCTGGGAAAGAGCGGGCGAGAGAACGGGTAGCCAATATTGGCAAAATACCCCTGATTTTAGAGCAATTTTACCCCTGGTCACATTTTACGAGTTTCTACAGCTCCATTTTGGAAAAACTGCACGACGATAGTATGGATGTGTCGGCTGAAGTGTCTGCAAACAGTGGTAACTTCTAACTTTGTAGCATATCATTTTTTCTGGTTAATATTTTGTTCGTCGTAGTGGATTATTTGCGTCAAAGATTCTCCTATTCTGCGACTCAAGCTAAAAATCTCGTAGACCCAAAAAAACGATGCAAATTTTCACCAAAACCTTACATATACATTTTTTTCGACGCAGAGTGGGAGTAAGACAGCGGGGAAAGCGATTTAGAGCTTACAAGTCATCCATTGTGTGGCCACCGGAAAGGTATTCGATTTTTGTTTATCTATAAGTGATTGTATTTTAATTTTATATCCACGAAAGTATCTCGGTGTTGTTTTATTTAGCAACATTTTATAATTTTCAGGAAGTTCCCCTCGTCGTAATCCTTTTTGCCCTGTCAGAACACCAAAGAAGCTGAAAGAAGGCATCGATATAGCTAGGTACTACTGTATGCCATATCAAATTTTCAAATTTATTTAAGCTTACCATATATTAATCTTAACTATTACTTTATTTTTTTGAAAGAGGTGGATAAAGGAGTTGTAGGCAAAGGAAAGAATAAGACCTGTAGGGTAAACCTGTCCACTTTAATTTGACTGTTGTGTAAGGTGATGATAATAAGCTTATATTTTTTTTGAAAGAGGTGGATGAAGGAGTTGTAGGCAAAGGAAAGAATAAGACCTGTAGGGCAAACCTGTCCACTTTAATTTGACTGTTGTGTAAGGTGATGATAATAAGCTTATTTCTAGTGCCTTCTAGTGCCTTCATACTTAATTTATTTTGCAGGATGTTCTCCTCATTCAAAAGTTACCTGCCATGGAAAACGGATGTTTCCATACAGTCCTTCAGCAAAGACAAACCAGCAAAAGAGGTTAAAGGAAATAGGTACATCTACAACTGTACAATGTGTTTACCATTGTTACCCTATTTAATTGCATAAATTATTGAATGAGGTTGAGTACGACGTGAAAGATTATCCAGATTGAAGAGAATGATGACCACCTCAGATCAGCATAATTCTGCACATCATATAAAAACCAAAAACTTTTGCCTTTCCCAGCACAGTTCCAGGATATCTGAAGATGTTTTTTCCTGCATGTACTTCACAAAAAGTACATAATATTCATCCAGAAACATGATTTGCATGTTCTTGCATTCCATCCAGTTTTCGTCAGAAAATTTAGCTGTTTCATCTTGGTATAGATGTAAATGCACATATTTAGTTCACTCAATATTGCCGGAGCAGCCTTGTTGCTAGGCAAATATACCATGTACTAACCTTGCTTCTAAAACCATATATCATGGGATCAACGGTATATTGCTTGCATCCTCCAAATATGAAGAGTTCCTGTTGGTTATGAATTAGCTGGGGGCTTGAGGCAGTTGAAAATGGCTACATGTTTTGAATGAACAACAATAATTGACATATTTATTTATTTTCGAAAGTTTGCCTTGTGCCCATCCTCTTTATCTCTATACTACAACTTAAGCTTAATTGATTTCTGACTTTGTATTTTTGAAGATCTGGAGAAGTGAGTTGTAGCAACTGGAAATAAAATGACCTTTAGGGTAAACCTGAAGCCATTTAAAGTTTGTCTGATGTGTATTTAATGATTTTGCATGATATTCTTCTTGTCCTTCTTTTATATGTTCTGTAAAAAAGGTCACAAGGACATTGCCAAACACTCCATCAGACTGGAAAAATAGGTACAACTGTACAATTATGTATTCATTTATATCAGTTTTTTTACCACTGAGGCTAATTCCAACAAATATAATAGTAATTTCTTATCCAATCTCTCAGCTGATTATTGTATACCTGGGAATGTAATTCTTACTTTAATTAAATTAAATAGTTATATTTGCCTATTTGAGGAATTCCAACTATTTCATTATTGTTACACAGCAATTTTAAACTAGGCAACCTTAACAGCACATTATAGCCTCATTATAAATCTGCCAGTATTTCATTTTTTGATCCCAGTGGGTTTTACATTGGGACAGGCAGAAAAAGAGGGGAAGGGTGGGCTTAATGCCCGGGGTGTGGTGCATATTATTTAATTTATTGCCGGCACAAAGTACAAATACAATAAGATAGCATTTGTAGATCTGCAAAATAATAATATTTTCTTAATAGGGTCCTACATTCGCACTAAAATTCATGTTGTCCATGCATCCTTAATCAGGTAAAAACGTATTATTGTAAAGCGATCATGTTATAATTTCACTCTTTAGATGGAAATATTTTTTTATTTTATGCAAATGGTTTCAATTTTCTAATCATGAGCCATATTTGTATGTACCCTTTAACACGGTTAATTTTCTACCTGGTTCAAATGTTTTTTGTTTTTAATTTATTAAATTTCAGGTATTTTAATGAGAAACGTACTGGGTAAAAAAGAATAAAGGAACCAAACTCTGGTGGCATGGCACAAGAAGAGAAGCCTGCAGGGAGAGAGAGAGAAGGGAAGAAAAGAAGAACTGCTGCCCAAGTTCATGATTCTTTCAATTCAAATATGCAATGCCAAATAAAGTATTTTTTTAAGTGCTTTACATTGTGATATCTGTTTTTCCTAAAATGGAGTTTGTTTGTCAACTGAACAATAGCTCTATAAGCACACAACAGTTCAATAACCATACCAGTCGGGTTTACACAGTATCTTTTACATCTTCAATGGTAAAACACCGAAAATCGAGTTTTTTCTTTATCAAACATAAACTTAAGCTTAATTTACTATATACAAATATAGCTGTCAAAAATTTAAGTGCGGTATCGAGACACCCATCTGGGCCCCCAATATCTGTAATTCGTGAGAAATGAAAGAAAGATGTGCTGTTTTTTCTGCTTGAAACCGTCACTTTAGTAAAACATATATATATATTACGAAGTGAATCAAGACCCCCAACACCTACTGTACCTTTTTGTGTTTATTTACTATTTTTTTTTCTGGAGAGACACTTTTGATGCGTCGTTTTAAAACATTAGCGAGTGCTTGAAAATGTCCAGAAATGCCATAATGAAGCATATGTTTACAATATACAGGTTTGCCTTGTTTCCTCTTTCGACGACAGTCCGTAACCTCGGCTCCTCCATCGTCCAGAGATACATTGGTACCTGTTGCTGCGCGTGAAAGTCCACTTAAGTTGAACAAACCTTGGTTTCGCGGATCCTTTTTCAACAAACCGAAACTTTGTTTTCGCTGTGGCATGCACATAGAAACTCTTCCTGTTCAAAGGACGGATTTTCAGCTACCTTTGGCTGAAGTTGTAGTAACCTGACGAAACGGCCGCCATATTTGATCTGGCAATATTGGCTAGGCGTTCTCGGCGTGTATCTCTCGGTGACGTCACAGCTCACGGTAGAGTCCATGATTGACCGATCGGAGAACGCCTAGGGACTAGGCTGCATTTCTCCATAGTTGATGCAGCTTCAGTTGAAGCTGCACTTAATTCTTATAATTTTGTATCTGTAAATCACTATCCGTCATAATTTTAAGATCCTGCAAAGAAAATTCATGAGCTGGGCCCAGCGTGATACAACATTGCAATAAAAACAACATTTTTATTTACATTCACGGACTAACAAAAATCGCTTCAATTAGTTATTCAGATCCAGAAGGTACTTTGGAGAAAATTAGAACCCTTTATTCAGCCGAAATAAAATGCTTTACGCTTCAAAAACTGAGGTCACAGAAAATGCTCTTGCATTAATGGGAAAATCCTTCAGACAGGATACAAAAACCACAGTAAATCGATATGTGTGTCATGACCTCTCAGTGTGAAACAAGCGGCTAAAATCACAATTGCTCAGTGAAAATGTGGAGCCTTCCAGATCATAATCTACCCAGCAGAGGAAAAAACCTTAATTGGAACGAGCAGTAATTTGGCATGAGGTGAAAGTCGTGTAGGCCTACCACCCCACTTTATTGCTATTAGAGCACGATAAAGTCCACCTCTGAAGTGGTGAATGGTATTTTAATATTTTCGTCCGCAATGAGGTTTTGCAACACGAAAAGACAGACATTGATTAATGCTTGTTTACGACCTTTCGTGAGTGCAATTTACAGAAATTTTATTTATTTTTTTACCTTCGCATATTAATCCAAGATGTTTGACCGATTGAAATATTGATTCCTTCGATCGCAAATAGATTTTAGCGGGTATGGTATTGCTCCCGAAGAAGTATAGAACACACAACTCTAGGCCGAAGCGGTGCTCGCAAAAAAATACTCCAAACACGACTTCTTCATACCTTTCCACTTAAAATGTATCAGTATTTCAAGTATTCAAATTCCCTACTCTTCCCTTTCGATCGGTGTCGTCGAGTTGCTTCGGTTCTCTTGATATCAGAAGTCCAGACGTTTTTACAGAAACCTTCCTCGATCATTATCATCTTCATATTTGTAAATCGAACGCTAAGACGCATAAAATCATCTCGATTAATCGGTTTGGTATTACATGCTGTTACTTTTCTTCAAGGAACATCCCAGCCATAGCGCTCTTTGCTTCGACATTTCTGTCGAACTTAGTCCTTTTGCGGTCAAATCAATTTTTTGGGTTGCGGTCTGGACCAATCACATTGCAGGAAATTACATATCCAGATCTGGTTGTGGCGCAGACTGTTCATTATTTAGTCTTTTTCCCGTGCCACATAACAAAGACTTTTAATCCCCCGGACTCACCATCTTGTTTTTAAACATGTCTAAAGAATGATATTAAGCACGTTTGTTCTGTCGTAATTCGTAATAATTTTGTCGTAATTTGTAATACCTGCCGCAATTTGTAAGAGCTTTGTTATAATTTGATAAAAAAGCAGTCGCAATTTGTAATAAAAGCAAAGCTGACGTAATTTGTAATGAATTTTTTCGTGATTTGTAATAATGATAAGACTTGTTTTTTGAGGGGCCTTTGATCGTTAAGGGGACAGTACAAGGTTGATCTGAAAGGACACAATGATTTCAGCTTGTTTTGAAATGAAAATTTTGCGTGAAAAACGAGAGTAATCTGAGCAAGTGATCTCACAGTAGTGCAAAATTTTAGTGCAAGTTTACAAAAATGATCAGTCATTCGGACCACCTTTCAAGTTCTATCTGTCTATTTGTCTGCATTAAGTTCAGCCTACAGTTTATGCATAATTTAATTCCTTTTTGTGGAAATTCCAAGATCAGATGTCTCGAAATTCTTGTTATAGATTTTTGCGGAACTTCGCGCAACAGAAGACAAGCAACCAATGTATAGGTAGGGTAAAGCATTTCCGAAGAAAATGACGATAAGGGCAGAAATTCGATTAAGAACTAAAACTATTGCGACGTCATTGTCCAGTGACATTTATTCCGATCGCCCAAAAAATGATATCGTAATAAGGTTTTGTCTATATGCAATGCATGTGTTATAACACTTTTAAAACAGAAACTAATTTGTTGAAGTATGAGAGATTCAAAGATGGAAGGTGTCGCGACAAAAATACAGGGTCGAGCCACCTTAATTGACCACTCCAGAAAATACCATAACATACCATAATGCTCTTTGTTTGTCACCCCCAAATTTTGCATACGTAAGCATTGTCTTCAGTTTCTCTTGGGAGTAAAAATAGCCCCAAGAGAAACTGAAAACAATGCTTATGCAAAATTTTGGGGTGACAAACAAAGAGCATCATGGTACGGTATGTTATGGTAGTTTCTGGAGTGGTCAATTATAGTTCTGCCCGTTTTACTATAGGCCGGCTTGAACGCTGGAGATGGGATCAGATTCTTCCAGATTAAAGCTTAAGAACAGGTGCTATTGTCAATCTTCCATCCATTTCAAACGTGGCTGTTCAGGGACAGTGGATTTTCAAAACTGGCAGGCAATCCAAGGTTTTCCACCTTATCGCAGGCTGCAGGGTATACTATT